AAATTAGTAAAAGACGAGGCTTCCATTTTAGCCTCTGTTTGGCAAATTTATAAATCAATTTATGAGGAATAGTAATGGGTTCACCAAAATATATGGATAATAAATGAGTAGTTAAAAATAATGTTTGACTTTGACTAAATTTATAAATTGTATTAAAACACAGGCTTAAATTTTTGGTCTGCATCAGCACCATAGAAATCCCTATGGGAGTCATTATTTTCCTTCAGTGAGAGGAAGGATGGGCGTTGGGTTTGGAAACTTTTAAAGGAATGCTCTAAATTGTCGAATCCACAAAATAACATCTGATTTCCTTGTCAATTTGATTGCAGAAATTGAAGCTGTTGAGTGCAGATGAACTCTCGCTCGATGATCTCCAGATTTAGAGCCATGGGAGCATGATATGCATTTTCCCCTCAGGCCTGCTTTCCAACTGTAACAATACAGTTCCACTTCTTTCTTTGCTACACATTCTGATTTCATTTTACTCTTGCCAAGGCAAAACTTCTTGATGGCTTTATTTTATAATTGATTTGTTGAGCCCATCTTAGCAATCCACTGTGTGTAATATATCCTTTCAGCCGTTGCAAAGGCTCGCTTGCAGAAAATTTCAGCTACCAGAGACCTGTTTAACGGCATTATCATTCGTTTATTTTTCTCTCAAGTCTTCGTTTCTCCATTTCTCGATTTCAGTCTTCAATTTTCCCCTCCCTTGTTCATTTCACTCTAGTTTACGCATATGGAATTTACCATTTTAAAAAAAAAAAATCTTACCAATTGACAATCTTTATGAAATGTTTCAAGAGTAAATATGACTGAATAAGAGAAATATGACAAAACGTGTCGATCCAATTTTGACATCAACATATTTAGTACATTGATTGAACTCGGGATTAACACCAAAATGAGCAGAACTGAGGCAAGGCAACAATTAACTATGAAGTAGTTTGGCTTTAGTATCGTCAATCAAGGCTTGTGCTTTCCTCTTCTTGCATTCGCCAACTACTCTCTTAACATACGCAATGTAGCCATCAACATCAAATTTTCTCTTGCACCCAGCGAAGTTCATATATCTTATTTTCCCAAAAACTGGTCGCTCTCTCCACCCCTGGTCGTGCACTCCACATATTGACCACATGCACCCAACATAACCATTTGGATCCCTGCCGTCTATTTGATACTGCAAAGCAAAAGTGACCATTGGATTGGATCAGATTGACACGGAATATAAATAACATCAACACATCCGAATCAAGTCTTATTACCTTATCATTTAAATAGATTGAAGTTGCAATGGCTTCTTCTGGTCCACTGGTCCATTCAAGTATCTTTTTTGCCCAATACATCCTGTATTTTGATTTTGAGGTTCAATCAAAACTCGTAACGGTGAGAACAAGACCGGTTAGAAGTTACTTGCCTCATAAAACCATGCATCTTGCCGTAGTGTACCATTTCCAACTGAGAGGCATTCCAAAGCTGAAAAGAAAACAAAAGTATAAGCACAAGATGAAAGAGATAAAGTACATGAAAATGCACTATACCTATTCAAAATGGTGAACTAGAGCTTACAGGATCAACAGTTTGTGCCTTCTCCAATTGCTCCCTCCTACAAACATCACATTTCATGAAATACATTTTGTTCTGTTAGTAAATCAAATGCACTAAAATTTATACACTCACGTATATACATGTTCACGTTTATCAGAGGCATGGTCGGTCAATGTTTTACGAGCCCACTCCCAAACGCCCTGCAACGAATCATAGTGTGGCTGGTAGAAGCAGAAGTTATCAGCGAGTTCTCTCCGCACTATCAATTCCTCTAGAAACACATCAACTGCCTTCACAATAGTAATCAGATGTAAACTACTGTCAAATGTATCATTCATGCATATACAGTAGGAGACAGATACATCATTCCATTATCAGGAACACATTAATACTATAGCCACCAACCTGAGGATAAAGTTTGCGAACTTTACGTGCCTCTAAGGCACAACGTTGTGCTGATATTTGCCCGAAATGCAAATATGGTGAGAGGCCAGAAAGCGCTTTGGGTTTCATTGGGTTATTCCGGTCTAAGGAATAATTCTTCAATCGGGTAGTCAAGAACCCCTTTTTATCCCCCATTAATACTTCCATTGCAGCTTGTTCGCCTGGTTCACACCATTCAAGTTCAGGAACTTCTGCTCCTTTCCTGGTCATGTAGTCATATGTAAGCAACACATAACCTTAAAATTTCGCAAGAAATCATAGACAAGAGTGAGTAGCCAGCTAACCTTAAAACATCTGCAATAAGGTCTCCCCAATCTACAGAACCACTTGAGGAAACCCATTCCTTCTTAGGAGGGTCGAGTTTAGGAAAGTCGATTAAGTACTCAGGAAGCTGTTTGTTTATCTTGCCTCTTATAGTCCTAGCACTGTATTCTAACTTATCTGATGCCAGCCAAACAGGCACTATGTTGTGGGCATCCACTTCATGAATCGACACTGATTCACTAACCCTCTTGCAGAGCTCGTCTTTCCATTGACGAACCTCGCGCAGTGGTGAAAAATCCGTCACCAAAAGTGAAGCCTCACATTCTCTAAGAAAATTCGGAATTGTGTCCACAGCTTCTCCCTATTCGATTAAATCAAAAGAGTAATCGTTGGACAACAACCTATCTTTAACCCTCTACTCAATCCCATAACAGAATCCCAATATTACGTAAATTGTAAACCAATATAAAAAAATGCTAAAAAAAGGAAAATTAGCAAAAACATAATAAATGTGCATAAGGGTCTTACCTGAAACAAGAAAAATGGAATGCTTAGGCGTTCTTGAAGATCAAAGTACAATTTCTGTAAACCTCTAAGCATGAATCCGAATTGCCTGGCTTTTGCACCCTTAAACTGATCGAACAAGTTGAAAGCTATAGCCACAGGTACATTCGATTTATTAGCCTGATCGACGGCGTGGATCAAAGCCCAGTTGTCCCTAAGCCGTTGATCCCTGAACATCCAGTACACCACAGGCCCTACAAGCTTCTGATCTGACGGCCCTAGTGCTTGCTTCAGGACCCGAACCCGACCAGGGTGAACGGAGGGGATGGCTGATGACATGGGTTTGTTTTGCTATTGTGAGCCGGAGATGTAGAGGTTAATGGGAAGGTTCAAGGTTTGAGCAGTGTTTCTGGGGTTTAGAGGAAATGGAGGGAAAATGAAACCGTGAATGGGTGTGGCTCTGGAATGAGACACGTGGGATGTTTTTAATTCGTTAGTTTTGTTGACTTTTATTAATTGACTTGTAATGGGTTTGGTGGATCCATATCATTGGGCCTAATCGGATCCGAGCCCAGTGGGGCTTCATATTTCTGTAAGAGAATATTTGGGCCGATATAGGAAACCTAACTCAATAACTCGTGGCTTAAACTTGGTTCGTTAAAATGGATCGCCGCAGATAGCCGAATTCTCGTATCATGAACTAAAGAAGTGAAAGCAGCGAGCTCGTGATCTATTTTAGAATGATGTTATTTGCAGTCGCTCACTATTGCAGTCGTCCTACGTGACATACATGTAGCTGTTAATGATTTGATGTATAAGACAATAAAAAATTATCACATTATTGTATTAACAATAATACTATTTGCAGTCGTTTACTGCTGCAGTCATTCTATGTGACATACACGTGGTGATTAATGATTTGTTATATAAGGTAATTAAAAACTATCATATTAATATATCAAATTACTAACCGTCACGTGTATGTCAGCCACATAGGATAACTACGACAGTGAAAGACTAAATTACTAACTGCCACATGTTTGCTACGTAGGGCAACTATAGTAATGAACGATTATAAATAGCATAACTCTGCATTCTATTACTGTATTACCAACTCTAAAATAAAAACGACAATAGCCATTACTCTCATTTCACTTTCATGTAACAAATTTGCTATGTCTAGCAAAATAACTTCATTGGGAGACATGCAAATTTGAAGAAATATTTTAAACTAGGCCGAAGGAGTTGCTCTTTACTTCCTGAAGGGAGATGCCATTATTTCAAGTCAGAGCTAAGCCTTCTTGTAGACTCAATGGTTCTGCATACACAACTGAGGTCGCTAACTATGCAAAGCTCAACCTGCTTCAGGCCAATTTGATATATTTACAACATATTTGGTATGTTAAATTTATTCAGTGCGAGGGTGTCAAAAATTTGTTGGATGCCTCGACATGTGAAAGTACAATCCGACTCATGCACGGGCAAATCTTGGTCTATAGTCAAGCGCGTGAATCAATCCACACATATACGTATCTAAGATTGGTAAATTCCAAGGTATTAGGGTTTAGAAAAGTAGGTTTATTAATCTTTTAATAGATTTATATACTTAACTTGCACAACAAACTAATCGAGTGCGTCGATAATCATATGCCCAATTTTGTAGTATATTTATCAAATAGTAGACATTAGGATAGGAGTATGATGTAAAAATAAAAATATTGTGTACGTTACTTTCTAAGAATATTTGGACTATATATAAATAGGTTTGTTACCAAAAGTAAGCAAAAACAAACCTACCTCATTAAACAAATCATAGCCCTCTACACACAAAATATGTAATTATAAACATTGTTATGATCTAGAACGTGTGATAATTATATTTTATAAGCAATTAATTGGCAAATAAAAAACATTAATGACTAATTATGGTCAATAAGATTGAAAATTAGTTTAAAGTATGATACGATTCGTTATTCGTGAAAGCTAAGTCTCCGTTAAATAAACAACAATATGCATAGGTGGGTGGACATTAATTGACTCACCATTCATAAATATGAGAACAACAAATTTCGTATCTGAACGAACATTTTATACTTTTAATTTGCTCATTGTTTATTGGGAAAATTACAGCTTCCATCCTTAATCTTTAAGAAATACATTACTTGGGTCCTTATTCAATGTTTTGAGGCACTTAAGACCTCTACCTTTTTTAATAGGCACATAAGTCCAGACTTGAATGAAAAATGAAAATAGCTAATTATTAAAAATGCATGTAAAGGCACATGCATTGTGCATTCTTTATGAGGACTATTTTGATAGGAATTGCAACGAGACAAGGTCGAGTGGGTTGAGGTCAAGAGAGGATGATACAGAAATAAGAATATCTCATTTATCGCGTTCATTTAAATACAATTTAAATTGAAAACATAATAAAATTAAAAGATTCAGAGTTGAGACCATGTTGTCCATTTATGTTGGTTTACCATCCAGGATAGGTCGAAAGCAGAAAATTTAGCCATTTCTATAATGCGATCGCTCAATCTCCATGTCCTCAAAAAAAAAAAAAGAAAAAGAACAAGAACAAGAAAAGAAAAAAGTACTAAAAAATAAATAAAAAGGCAAACCACCCCATTGTGCTGGTTGCAAATTTATTTGAAACCTCTAAAATTGAACTAGTTAAAATTGGTTTTCTTCCGTTAAGGAATAAATTCCAAGTCAATTAAATAAAAATAATTAATCAATATATAAGGGATTATGATTTGAACTATTCCTTCAAACCATATTGACCTTGTAAAATAGGACTCAAAATCTTAATGATATTAGAATTCATTATACTCAAACGAGTAATTTAATTGGTCTAAAGAGGTCAAATAAATATTTGGACTTTAAAATTGGTGTGCTCAAATGAATGGCCGTCTTGCAAGGTTTGATTCTAGTTAATTCACTAAATTTTAATTTGATCCCAAATTTATATTGTTTATTGTCTCTTAGTTAAATTATAATTTATTGAATTTACATGCTTTAAGAATAATATTTTAACTTTTCCATCTAAAACAAAAAAGGAGCTGAAGTGAAACAAAAATTTAGGCAACAACTACACATTTACAATTAATTTTTGAAGCAAAAAAGAACCGAATCCAACGAAACAAGAGACAATCACTTCAATCCAATACTTTTTTTCCTCTATAGAAAGAATGGTTCCATTTTTACAATTCTTATAAACGATCCTTTCGATTCCCAAGAATCATAATATTACACTTATTACCTCGTCTATTTACAATGAACTAATACTACATAGAAATGAACATTGTAATGAAAAAGATTCTATTCTATGGACCATTACTGATGCAGACACCCTATTCGATTTTACTATTTTTTTGAATAATTAATTACAAAGGAAAAAATTACTACTTGTTTTGCAATATAAAATATCCTAATTATTTAAACTTTCTATTAGACCAATAATGCAAACAAATAAAACAAAGGGATTTGGTACAGAAAACATAAAGAAAGAGAACTTTTGGCAACAAAAGTTTTGAGTGGTTCACAGCCAAGAGATTGATACAATATTGAACAGTAGCAGACTACCCCACACCACTCCCCCAACCAAAAATAAAAAAATAAAAATCATGCAGCCTCTTGTCTCTTTTGTACACTATTGTAGTTCATTTTTACATTTTTATTCTCGATAAATTAAAATCAAATGTGCATATTATACCTACATTGCAACAATTAATCCTAGTTATTACACCTACAATTGACTATGGTTCACAAGAAAGTAAGGGAAAAAGGGTAAATTTTAGCAAACAAACATTGTCAACTGTGAATTTAACCTTAACAAAAATGTCTGTAGCATTGTAATAGAGAAATATTCTTGCAGAAAAAGAGAAATTGGCATCCTACATTAATCATTATACTTGCTTTATCTTAAGTGGAATCAATGAAAAAAAGTATAAATACAGGAAAAAATGATTAATTAAATAGAAGTTGGTGAGCAGTCAGTATTGCTATAACCCTTTTGAATTTTGACAAATACCCATTCATCTTTGCCGACAAGAATTTCTGTCTCTCCACTAAATGAGTAATTAGATGACATAAAGACAAAGGTAGCATAATAATACTCTACTCCATTATTGTACTTTTCTACCCTCTTACCTCACCTAAAAGTTGGATCACTATTTCATTTTTTCTGTTTTCACCTTCAACTGTTTGTCAAGTTTGGTGGAAGGGTGAATCTGGAAAAGCCAAAGGGGAAAAAATCGATTTCCTATATGCATTGTCACGGAGTTTATCTCTTGGAAAATGTTACATGTACATAATTTTTTTAGCTAATCCTTGACCTACTACTCATAATAGAAGGCGGGGGACCATATTTGGAAATTTTTATATTCACGCGGACCTGCGTCCATTGTGAGAGGAAGGAAAACTTTCGGTATCCCCAATTCGGTACAAATGGAATTATCCTTGCCTCTTGAAGATTCTACTCACTAAGAAAAGATGTAGACTAGGATTGGTAATTGTTTTATATTAGTCTCCGAATACATTAAATAGTGAAAAATATACATGTAGTTAACTTTTAATTTATTATGATCAAGTATTCAAGTGATTAATCTTGGTGTGACTGTACTTTGTATAGTCTTTATATATGCAATAGGCAGTGTTTCTTATTCCTAGGTTGATCTCCAATACGTGTAGACACTCGGTTTTACATGTGTGAGATGCGTGCTTATCACTTCTTGAAGGATCTACTGGATGGTTTAGAATAGGTTCGAAAAGAGAGAGCAGTAGATGAATAGTAATACGATATACTGTTAAGAATCTAATTGCTTTATATTATTTTCTTGTAGATCTAGTAATGAACGGATCATAGTAGCAAAAATATTCATATAACCACCTCTATATTTAGTTGGAATAGTATTTTAAATAGTCTTTAATTTCTAAATTGAGTAGAGTACAAGTTTAGTTCATCATATATGATAAATTTTAGCCTACAATAAAAGGGTTCTATCAAGCTTGAATCTTGAAAAGCCATTAAACACGAGCTACACAACAAATTAAAAAAAAATAAATAATAATTTATTAATAATAATAAATAAATAAATAAAAGACAAATCCAAGTGTAACCCAGAATGCTATGATCCTCAAAAATG